ATTGTACATGAGCAGAATGGAAGTGTTCAGTTCATTAATCTCTAAGAAACGGCCCGTCCTCACCGAGAGCCATTTAAGTTCTCAGCATGAGACCGGGAACAGGAGGCACTTTGATCTATATTACATAACTATCATTTAAATTTCTTTCTATACTAAAAAGTTTTACAAACTCCTTCTTACCAGAACATTGTAAAAGGAGATGAAGAAAACAAAAAGGATTTTTTGTTGAATCTTTTTGGATTTTCTCTGCATTTTTTTCTAAAGCTGACCTCCAGCCTTCCCTTCAGACTTGCACAGTTGTATAGGTTCCTCTCCTCTACTGAAACTGCACACCGTGGGCTTCACACATTTGAATTTTCCAAGAATGTAATCTGACAATTTTCCTACAAATTTTCATAAGACTTTTCCTTCGAAATTCTCTGTGTCTATGGCCAGCTTAAGGTGACCATAGATTTTGGAGGTCAGCCAGATGTATTGGCATGATTTCCCTGGCCATGCTCAGTTCTAAACACAAGCAGTCTCTGACATGCGTCAAGTCTCTGATGTAAGGTGAGTGAGATACCGTTGAAATCTACAATCATTTTTGCCCCCCCGAGCCTCGGAAAATTATAAAATCTGAGGTCTCTTTAAGTCTGACAGCCGCTGACCTTTCAGCTATCTGAGCTCACACAGGGGGTTGATTTACTTAAACTGGAGAGTGCAGTCTGGTGCAGCTCTACATAGAAACCAATCAGCTTCCAGGTTTTATTGTCAAAAAACTTAATTGAACAAGCTGAAGTTAGAAGCTGATTGGCCACCATGCACAGCTGCTCCAGATTCTGAGTGCTCCAATTTTAGTAAATCAACTTTCCCCCCCAGTGTCACCCAGCTCCTGAGTTTGCATTTGTAAGATTACATTTTGAACACCTGGACAGAATGAGAGCTCCACTGAAATTGAGTAACTTCAGTAAATCTTTATTGTTCACAGTAACAGGCCCCAAGAAAAAAACAACGCGTTTCAGGGGCTTAATACTCCTTCTTCATCAGGGCTGGGAAACAAGATAACAGAATGTAAAGTTAAGATCTATTTAAGTATTTTGAAATGTCATAGAGCATGACATACAGTAGATTATATAAGAGAATCATGTTATACATTATCTACTATGTAGTATACAGTGTTATATATAGTGTTATATGTGGAAGTTAGGAGTCCGGCTGTCCTCTGGCATTTTGTATGGTAACCTCTCCCTCACTGAAGATCGTTCGGTTTATTCTGGAAGTAGGTATCCAGTGATCCTGTGACATTGTGAGTACTGACTGGGGCTCAGGGATCTTGTGACTGTGTGCTGTACCCCTTGGGTGGAGTATTATTCCTGACTGGGATAGTTTCTAAGAAGAGGCTCAGTTCTACCATCTTTACCTGGTTCTTCCCTGTTTAGGGAAAGTTAGCAAGCTGAAGTGTCCTCCAGAAAATGTTCAGTGAATCTGGAGTAATCCATAGTCACTCTACACCCCATCCAAGTTCTTCAGCAATACTAGAAAGACATCCCCTAGACCAGTGGTCTCCAAACTGCAGTCCAGGGGCCAGATGCAGCCTTTTGCCTGCCTTTATCCAGTCTGTAAGGCATTGTCCCCGCCACTGATACCAACAACATAGCACTATTACATTCACTGACACCAACAGTGGGACACAATACTCCCACTGACACCAACAGTGGGACACAATACTCCCACTGACACCAACGATATAACAATTTAGGAAATAAATTTGAGGAGGAGCCGTGCGCAGTGATGCCTTTGCCGCCGCGACCGCGTGGAGGTCCAGTGGCCATCTTAGCATCTCACATGGTCAGTGTTTTATCTTGTTTTTAGCTTGCATTCAATAAATATTGTTTGAAAATACTGCACTATGGGCTTCCTTCTTTTTGGCTCCTTGTGAGCGGATACCTGTACAGAGCCCATTCCGAAGTGAGGCCTTAGGTGCTGCAAACTGCCCCGGGGAAGGGGATCCTTATCGGTAAGTTGATCCGGTTCTGAAGGAGACCTTCAGCAGACATCTTTGAGATTTACATATGCATATATGCGCATAAAGGTTGCGCATCTGGTGAGTGCATATTCCTAACAATTTCACGGCACGTCACCAGGATGTTGTAAGGAGCACTTATCTGAGATCCCCTCAGATGGATCATCACTTCTAAGCACTTTATATGAACTGTTTTCCAGGACTGTGTGTATGGTTATTAACACTCAGCACATCAATAGTGCTCACTAATATCACCTTGAGTTTTGCATTTTCCACTTTTGTCACTTTATATCCACATCTGGGTTTAGTGCAATTTATGTGTATACATACATTTGAACTTTGTTTTTAGGGATTCCAGCGCCGCACCCCTTTGTTTTTCTTGATATGACAATTTAGGACACTCTTTGTCTCACTGACACCAACAACGAGACACTATTCCTCCTAGTGACACCAATGATGAGACACTATTCTTCCCACTGACACCAACGATGGGACAGTATTCCTCCCACTGACACCAACAAGGGGGCACTATTCCTCCCACTGACACCAACAATAGGGCAAAATTACATTCCACTAACACCAATGTTGAGGCACTATTCTTCCTACTGACACCAACTATTTCTCCCACTAAGACCAAAGATGGGGCATTGTTTATTCTCACTGGGCACAGGCACCCCTAAAACCTGAAGGACATTTTACTGGTCTTTTGTTGTTTTTAAATGTTTGGAGACCCCTGCCCTAGTCTGATTACTGAGCCAAGAGTGAATGAACTGTTGCTGTGTTCCGGGCTGCCTCTGGGAAAGAACCTGTTAAATTACAACGGCTCATTCAGGGGTAGCGCTGCAGAGGTAATTATATACGTGTAAACAATACAAAAAAAAATGAATAAGATGTATAAAGAAATATAGTTATATGTAATAATATTGATAAATATATTCCCAGCTGTAGTATCAGGTTCAAGAAAAGCAACAAAAACTTTACAGGACCGCTATTGTGAAAAACTTTATATTCTGGCAACTGTATGTGACTAGTACCGTACATAGTTAGTCTGGCTGAAAAAAAAATACAAAAGTCCATCCAGTTCAATCATAAAAAAAAACCAAAAAACAAGTTATAATCCTATACCCACAGTTGATCCAGAGGAAAGCACAAATCCCAGCAAAGAATGATCTAATTCCTTCCTGAGCCCCCGAGAGGCAATCGGATATTCCCTGGATCAACTTTACCTATAAATGTTGGCCAGAACCAACTCTTGAGGGAGTCCATACCACATTTGCAGGCCAAGCTGTCCAGCACAAATTACAATTACAGGGGTTGGGGCAAACCATATAACATTGCCAGGGTGCTTACAATGAACAGCTTTTTTGATATGGTTTAAACCACTATTTTCAGAAACAAAGAAAAACACTTTGATTCACCTTTAGGTACGGACAGAATGGACTAAGAAAAACTTAACATTTCCTATTGGACACAATGGCTACATCAAAAGCTTGTACAGACATAAAGCATTGTGAGATACAGGATATTTAACATCTGTCAGCAGAGCATCCCATAGACGTAGCTGTGCTTCCAGCTCCCGTGGGGAAATATAAATGATGGATATAGTATTATTTAAAGCTTGCCCTTATTTTAGACATGGGGTTACATAGTTAGTCTGGCTGAAAAAAGACAAAAGTCCATCCAGTTCAACCATTAAAAAAAAAGTTATAATCCTATACCCAGAGGAAGGCAAAAAAACCACAGCAAAGCATGATCCAATTCCTTCCTGATCCCCCGAGAGGCAATCGGATATTCCCTGGATCAACTTTACCTATAAATGTTATATCCAGTTATATTCTGTGTATCAAGAAATAATCCAGGCCTTTTTTGAAGCAATCCACTGAGCTGGCCAGAACCAATTCTTGAAGGAGTCTATTCCACATTTGCAGGCCAAGCTGTCCAGCACAAATTACAATTACAAGGGTTGGGGCAAACCATATAACACTGCCGGGGTGCTTACAATGATCAGCTTTTTTGATATGGTTTAAACCACTATTTTCAGAAACAAAAAATAAAATCTTAACCGCTTAAGAAGTGTTAGCTTTGGACTTTATTTTCTTTGTCTCTCTTACTTTGCTCTTTTTTGCTCTCACAAATTTACCATTGAAAGAGTTTTAAAATATCTGTTGCAAAAAAAATATCTGTTGGTCCTGCCAAAAATTCTGAGCTGTCCTGGGGACTCTTCCTGTGTTATCTCAAGGAACCTAACCAGCCCTCTGAGTTCATAACTTGGAGCTACAGATCAATGAGTCTCTGTTGTAGAGATAAGGAGAAGGGGAAAGATTATGTATTTTAGCAAAAGACAGCTGGGCAGGGCTGACACCATGTCTTGTAAATTTTTGCCCCCTAAAGCACTTAGAAGAATATTAGAATCTGAGTGCATTTCTTGCAGATTAATAGATTTGTTCTGTACTTGCAGGGGACTCCAGGCATGTAACCCTCCCTGCCCCCACCTTCCCAATGGTATTTATTTTTTTAATCCCTATACATACCAATTTTCTCTTGCCAGTCCTGTGATGTCACTGCAGCCTCTTCTCTTCATTCATTCTGGAATGAACTATGGTCAGTCCTGCAGTACTAAGCCCAGCCTATGATGCGTCCCCTAGTGTCGTGTATGTACAGTACAACATGTTGGTCTTGCAGGTAGTCTTCAGAATGGCAGAAGAGGACCACCGGCGCTGGATTGGAAGTCAGGGGCAGTGATGGAGCATGGAGAGGGTAAGTGAAGATTGGCACCTTTTATATTGGGGGAACCAAAAATTAAAAAAAATTCTGGAGTTCCATTCTACAGGGATAAAACAGGGAAATGTGCATGTATACCAGAGACATATCCATATGGTTTTTCTTTTTGCTCTAACATACATTGAAAAGTCCATTTAAAATTAGAACAAGCCTGACTACAGTGTGACAATGTTGCATTGGCAATTGTCTGATTGCTGGATTTCTGTTTCAGAATGAATCCTGCAGGAAGCATCAGGAGGAAGCTCTGGACATCGCCCTTGATGACCCAGGTGCCAATGCGGCGGCTACGAAAATCCAAGCCGGGTTCCGCGGACACATGACTAGGAAGAAGATGAAGGGCAGTGAAAAAGACCTCAAACACAAAGATGGCAAAGAGGGCAGCAGCGTAGAGGGGTCCATAGAGAGCTAAAACCAGGTCAGTGTCCCAGAATGGTATTAGTCACATACAGAACAATGTGTGCACTTGTGCTGCCACTGTATACCGTATAATGCCACCCTGATTAGAGGCAGCTCTCTCTGCGCTGTAACCTATATTACACTTTGTAGAATTACAGGGCTCTGTTCTATGAGGCTAAAAAGGGAGTGAAATAACAGTGCAGCAAAAATGAACTTTGTATAGTGTACAACATAGGACTTCCAGGGTCATTATATTTATATATATGGCGTCACCAAGCCCTCACTACATTAGTGCTCATTATTAGCAGTGGTTTAAGATGATTTCACAGTTCCTAGATTGTAAGCTCCCAGGATCAGAGCCCTCCTATCCCTCTTGTATTGAACTGTATTGTTGCTGTATTGTCTCCCGTTATATTGTAAAGTGCTGAGCAAACTGTTGGCGCTATATAAATCCTGTATAATAATAATATTAACAGCTCCATCTGAGATTTTTTTTCAGTTTCCACAAACCCCCCAGAACTAATTTACATCCTGCTAGTTCCCGTATAACGGGGCTGAAATATTCATAGCTGTGTACAACAGGCACTTAAGAGAAAGTCTGTAAACAGTAAACATATAGAGGGGCTTAAAGTGGTATTAACCCCAAAAGCAAAAATGTATTACTAATTATTAGATGTGCTGGCTGCATTTATTTTCTTTTTTAGGCTTTCTTTCTTCTGGTGATTCAGCCAGTAAATCTGTTGTTTTCAAAAGAACAAGCTCTCCAGCAGAATGCATCAGTTACAGAGATGAGACAAACAATTTAACACAAGCAGGGGTGCTTACAATGATCAGCTTTTATTTTTTTTAAGTAACACCTTTATCCCAAAAGGAAAAAAACTGTTGCATTAACTGCTTATAAAGTGAGACCTGGAGCTTGGCTTCAATATGTTAGTGTATCTAAATCTGCTAGTACATCTAACAATCCCTTCACCCCAGTCTAGAAATGCGTCTGACCAAACGTGCCCCCTGAGCTCCTTCATACATAGTCAGGGCAGATCACCAGGTGAACACAGAGGGGAAAAGGGCTAAAAAAAACGAATGCAGCCAGCACATCTAATACTTGGTAAGCTGCATTGTATTACATTTTTTGTTTTGGGTTTAATACGACTTTGTGGTAGACATACATTCAGCCTGCTGCTAAACAGAATGGATGGATGACTCTTCCTCTGCGGCGATTGTATTATGATACCTGGAACCAGTGGCTGTCAGAATACAGTGGATTCTGCCAAGTGATTGTAGGTGATTGGCTGCAGTCAATGTTCGGATGAGAATTAACCACTCGGATCCTTTGATTTTTGGATCAAAGGATGTCAGGCTTTAGGATACCAACAGGGCCACCCGCTGCTTGACTTTATTGTGGTTCATCAGAAACTACCCAAAACGCTTTAAGTGTGTGACCCTATTACCTGTGCTGCACTGATTTCCCACAAGGACTAGTGATGGGCGAATGTGTCCAGGTTTTACCGAGGATTCGCTGACTCTAGTTCGTAGTTTGGCAAACACAAATTTGGCAGCAAATCCCATTAACATCTACAGGGGTAGGAATCCTCCAGTTAAATTCTAAAAATGTTTTGGGCTAATAGGAAAATTATTGTCAAAATAGGCATAGGGAGATGGGCACTGCCATGAAGGGCAATTAAAATAAAAAAAAAACTAGAATGGGGAAAGGGTCAATTTAATGTGACTTTGAGGCTGTCATAAAAAAATACCTCATACCTTTAACCACTTGACCTCTGGATGGTTTTACCAATGCAAATTATTTTTTCGCACAAATAGAGCTTTCTTTTAGTAGTATTGTATCACCACTGGGTTTTTTTTTATTTTTTATTATATAAATGAGAAAAAGAACGAAAAAATTTGAACCCCCCCCAATATTTTCTACATAAAACATATCCAAATAAAAAAAATCAAATTTCTTCATAATTTTAGGCCAAAATTTAGTCTGCTACATATCTTTGGTAAAAAAAAAAAATGTGTATATTTATTGGTTTTTCTGAAAGTTATAGCATTTACAATCTATGGTATATACTGTATACTGGAATTTATGCAGCTATGACGCTATGCTGGCAGTGACGGTGATCAGCGGCTTATAGTGGGACTGGGTTAGTGTTCCTAGCCCTAGCTGATGCTGGCAGGGAGGTACACTAATTGACTACTGACACTGACATCAATAGTGACACTAATACAGTGATCAGTGCTAATGCTGTACACTGTCACTGTACTAATGACACTGGCTGGGAAGGGGTTAACATCAAGGGGGCAATCAAAGGGTAACTGTGTGCCTAACAAGTGTAATCTGTGTGATATGTGCTGATTTTACTTACAGATCTGGCTGTTTTTCTCCCTGCTTTGCAAGAAGAAGAAACAGCCAGATTGGTGATCTGTGTAAAGAGCCCTGTGTGTATGTAGAAACAGGGCTCTGTGCTGTAATTGGCTACAGCCAATCAGCAGGTGTCAGCCATAAATCATTGGCCAGGACCTACTGACAAAATCCTGCTGTAGTCACTGACACTGGGGGTTAGAAGTGGGCTCATGGATGCACTCCCCTAAGGGCTCGTTCACACCATGGTGCAGAGATGTCAGATTTCCTGTACGTGTTCTGCAAGGACACAGCAAAATCAATTATTCTCTATGTGCCCTGTTCACACCACAACACTAGTATCCTCCACAGATTTTTTTTCTGAGTAGGAATCTGCAACATGTATAAAACTTATTGACGCACACATTAAAACTGATGTAAACTGATGTCTCTGCAAGTGAGATCTGCGCGTCAGTTTCCATACTTTTTTCTGCACATATGGTGTGAACGAGGCCTAACCCAGACCAGGGTGGATCATGTAAATGTACGTGATCCAGCCTGCCTGTGCCGCCTGCCCACAGTTAATATACTGTGGCTGGGTGGGAAGTAGTTCATTTACATCCTTTGGAGATGTCCTTCAGCTGTATGGTGCTTTGGAATACCGTAGTTTGATTTTCCCAGACAAGGGCAGCAGCAACACCATATTCTGGTATCACATAGTTTGGATATGTACTTGATATTTGAACTTTCTAATTTAGTTTGGCTTAAATACAGCAGTAGCGCTCTAATCTGTTTCGTTGCCACTTGAAAAATGTTATTTTAGGTAGTTTGGGCTGCGACACATGATTTTTTTTATCAAGCGATGGTAGGCCAGTGAAAGAAGCACTCACAACAGATCTAAAAGCTATAGAAAGATTTTCTATTATAAAAAAAAAAAAATCTAGAGCTCCCAACTTGGTAGAAACTGGCCAGCAGCAGAACAGTTTAATAGCAGTTTGTGGGCTTCATTGTTTGCTGTACCATGCTGCATTGTCCTAAAAGTTTAATGGAATTGTTAAAACAGAGTGCACAAAAAACACTTAAAAACTACAAACCCACATCCCCCCACCTCTACACCCCCAACTTTCCTCAAAATTATTCACAAAATAATCAATATATATACCATATAGGCTATTGAATAAGACGTGACTAAACATGAGTGTACAGTATTATCTGAGAGACAATAGTCACAATTATTGCACAGTGGCTGGACAGTATGGAAGCAGCTTGGTTAGACCACAAACACTCTGCAGCATATGCAACATCCCAGGCTAACTTTTGCTATGTTGTATTGTAGCTTGTATGCGTGAGGAAAAAGAGCCACACTGGACCAAATTGGGACACTGGGACATCAGACAATGGGACAGCAGAGGACTCGAAGTCCCTAGTGTTGATGCAGACAACACTGTCCTAAATAATTGCACCCTAACCATGAATAGCACCCCAGGGTGAACTATCCCTCTTAAAGCATTTCCCATTTCCTCCTCTTCTTCCTTGCCTCCAGCACCCCAACCCTCCTCCTCCTACACCTCACATTCTTCTTGCTACCTTCTTCTACTTCATCTATTAGGCCAAGAAGTGTGTGGTCCATGAGGAACATGAAGGAGATTCTACCTTTAATCCCCAACTTGCTGTGGCTTACTGTTTTGATTGCCTGTTCAAAAGGTGCTAAAATACAGAACATGTCCTGAACGATAAGCCATTAACGCAGTGAAGAGAACCCCAGAGCCTGTCCTCATGCAGAACTCACTCAGCTACTCATTAATGGCATGATACTGCTTGAGCAGCCTTTGTAGCATGGCCAACATAGAGTTCCATTGCATGAGGGGGTTCACAGATGAGGCACTTTGTCCAGAAGAATCTGCTCACCCCTTGCTGCCTCTATGTGCAGATCCTCTGCCTCTCCATACCTACCTGACATTTTTTAGTAAAGAGGATTTCCTAAATGAAAAAATAAGGGAATAAATATGTGGTGCTTTGGCACACTCTACTTTACCGCACAAGTACCAAGTGATGTACTACACAATGTCAACCAGTATAGCACTTATAGCAACAGATGCCTGGTACACATGTGGAGGGTTTTTTTTTTGTTCAAAACAGCTGGCTGACCATTGGCTGCTAGCGCTGTACACACGGCCAGTTTCTGTTAAACAGGCCGATACCGCCGATATTTGGTCCATGTGTACAGGGGCGGACTGACAACTCATGGGGCCCCCGGGCAATAGGGGATCAAGGGGCCCCTGTGTCCTTGCCCAAACTCAAAATAGCCTATGAAAAAGGTACCATGGGCATCTCATGGGGTCCCCTACTGACCCCGGGCCCTCGGGCAGTGCCCGAGTTTCCAAATGGTCAGTCCGCCACTGCATGTGTACCAAGTTGGTACTACCAACCTTTACTCTCCCTACACACACTGTCAGCTCTCCAAACTATGCCAGCAAACATTGACAACTGCTGGGAACCCACCTTTATATAGCGGGGGGCTCGCACATAAAATAGTTCCCATTTTTGGCAATTTCAACCCTCGAACAACAGTTGAAGGGTGGGGTATTAGGGGTCCTTCAAAATCCAGTCCATCAAATTTCACTATAAATTCAATGGAGCTGCACACCACAAACCCAACCCTGAATTCATTG